CTTCCTTCCTTTCTTCCTTCCTTCCTTCCTTTCTTCCTTCCTTCCTTTTCTTCCTTCCTTCATTTCTCTCCTTTCTTTCATCCACTTATCTTTCCTTTCCTTTTATTCCAGACTTCTAAAAATAACTAAGATAACAAATCTTCACTTCTGACAAACGTGCAGGACGAGAATGATAACTTCCTTTGCCCATAAAAGGAAGCAAAACCCAGTAGGAAATATTTGTATTGTCATCTCAGGATTGTCCAAACCTTATAACTGATTAATTATGCTTATTTTTATCCTTTTGTTAATATTAACTACAGCTAAAATAAACGTGAGTCATGGACAAAATTTCGATCTCATCAAAACGTTTAATAATTACTTCATTGATCAAATTCCTTTATACGATTTTGAGTCTCTAAGCTCAGTCTTTTCTGTACCACGAAACTCCCTCCCTCCATAAAGTTTTCCATTTGAAGTCAACATACAATAAAACAAACAATAAAACAGTGAAAAGAGTTAATGTATCATAGTATATGAAATATTTTGTTTAAAAAAATTTTAACAAGTAGTTTTAATGTTTGTCTTCAAAGTTTATGCAAAATTACTCAATCTGTTGAATCAACTCCAGCAATTAAGGCTAAAAAAACTCGTGACAAAATGTGAAGGAATGTAGTAAGAATATTGATCAAGAAAGAACCCTGTCACTTTTCAATAAGGCAACTATTTTTACTTTGAATTATAAATTTAAGGGATCAATTTGCCATTCTGTCTATAGAAAAAATAAGATGTTTTTAACGTTAATTGTTCCACAGTATCAAACAGCAAATAAAGTTTTGGTAAAATTATTAAACACTTAAATTCTACCAAAATATAAAAATGTTACAATATTGGCAAACTTTATTTTTGTCCTATTTCCCATAAAAAGTAAAGTTTTTTCAACGTTAATTCTCCAACATACACAATCTACATTATATATATATATATAAGTTATTGAAGCTTTTGGTAAGAATATTTAAAAAGACTTAATTTGCCAAAATATGCCAATATCGGGAAATTCTAATCTTATCTTATATATTTCCCCCAGAAAAAGTCAGATTTTTCGACGTCTATTCTTTAAGAAATCATTATTAGTTTATACAGTTTTTATCAAAATTATCGAAGGTTTAAATGTATCTAAAACGTAACAGTATTGTCCAAAGTTTATTTTTGGACCAGTGAGTTATGGTGAAACACTCAAGGCGGCAATTTATCTGGCTGCGAAATTTTATATTAAATCAAATATCTTATACCTTATTTAGTATTTTTTTCGCAAGCATTGTGTACTTTATTATACAGTGCTTGACTGTTAAATGTTTCGTTTATAACAATGTTCAAACAATATAGCCGCTTACTGTCGGGTCATTTCATCCAAAAATATCCCACTCATGTCCCGAATTTTCAACCAAAAATTTACTTATTTTTTCAATTGCTGCAGTAATAATATTTACATGTCACATGACGAGCTGGAGAGCCCATTTTACGGTAAACAGCATGTAGTCTTGGTTGCTACAGATAATAGTTAATCCGATTTCCGTGATGTCAAGATGACGAATGCCAGGCAAAAACATCAAGCATCTGTAAATATGCCTACACTCGATCTATTTAGAGTTATAAACCATGTCGCTC